CCAGCCTTCTAGCCCTCCAGCCTGCCATGAAGGAAGGCCGGAGGGCTGCAAGGCCAGAAAGAAGGCTGGGGGGCTGGAAGGCTGGAGGGGCTGGTGGAGCTGGAAGGCTGGAGGGCTGCAAGGCTGGAGGCCTGGAAGGCTGGAATGCTGGAGGGCTGCAGGGCTGGAAGGCTGGAAAGCTGCATGGAAGGTTGGAAGGCTGAGAGGCTGGAAGGCTGGAAGGCTGGAGGGCTGGAAGGCTGGAAGGCTGGAAGGCTGGAGGGCTGGAAGGCTGGAAGGCTGGAAGGCTAGAGGGCTGGAGGGCTGGAAAGCTGGAAAGCTGGAAGGCTGGAGGGGTGAAGGAGGGCAGTAGATATTTAAACTTCCGGATTTAAACAGGTCATTTACACTACCTCTGTCATCCTTGGGCCTGGGCCGCCCTCCACATATTTAAAAAGCGTCACCGTAGCAGAAGGGTCTGGTATAAGGGCCTTAATGTTTAGAATGGGGGCTTAGGGCACACCTTAAGGACGAAATGACCCTTAAAAGTAGGGGCCCTATACCCTTACACTATGAACCCCTATATATGGTGTATGCACCTTAAACTCTTTTAGGGCTTATTTGGTCCTAAAGGCAGTAAGTATATATTATCGTCTACTGCTATTAAGGGACCATGAGGCATATCATTGGAGATTATATTATATATTCAGGCCGCCCCTATACTACCTACGAGGCTCGTAAGTCAGAAAGACTCCGATGTCGGGCTGCTGGGTTCACAAGAGGGTTTAGGGGTTTAGGGTTGAGGGTTTAGGGTTCAGGGTTTAAGGGTTTAGGGTTTAGGGTTCAGGGTTTAAGGGTTTAGGGTTTAGGGTTTAGGGTGGTTTAGGGTTCACAAGCCACATTCAGAGCTGTAAGCCTTTTGTCCAGAATCCTGAACCCGTAACCGTATACAGATACCGACAGAAACAATAAAACAAACTCATACCCGACGAGCCCGCAAAAAGAAGATAACTATGGAGGCCTCAATAATGACGAACAATGTGATCTTATAGCATACTTTGTATACTGGCTAACCCTAAACCCTAAACCCTAAACCGTGCTGTTAACTGTTTCCATGGCTCATGCATATTATTTATCACCGAGATGCAGGGTCGACACGATGAAAAGCTCCTTCAGAGCTTGGCGTTGGAGTCTTAGGGTCTTTGGATGTCCTAAGGCTTTAAAACGTGAGGATCTTAAGCTTTCGAGCTTTTAGAGCTTTTTTTAAGTGTAGAGTTTAGGCTTTAGGGCTTAGGGTTTGAAGGGCTTTGTGCTCTTGGGGTTTGAGGCTTAACAGCTTCAACTCTGTCAAGCTGAGGGTGTAGGGTTGGTTTAGGGTTCAGGGTTCAGGGTTTAGGGTTCAGGGTTTAGGGTTTAGGGTTTAGGGTTTAGGGTTTAGGGTTTAGAGTTTAGGGTTTAGGGTTTAGGGTTCAAGGTTTATTATGGGGCTTTGGGGTGTAAAGCCAAAGCTCAACATCCTCAATGACAGTATTGAACCCACATTGCGTCGGGAAAGTGCGCGCAACTACGCTGAACTCCAAGTCATGTGCCCCGATTGATCCCTCATGGGCAGGTCTCTAAATTAGGGTCCCTCTTAGGGTCCTTCTTATAAGGGTGCCGTACTATATTGGGGACCTAAAAAGGGACCCTAATTTAGAGAACTACCCTCATTGAGTCGCCAAAGCAGAGACAGCTCCTTGCCCCCAACGGTGGCATGGCCGCAGCAGTAGGGCAGGTTTCCACCATAACTGGAGTAAGACAGCCAAAGCAGATAAAGGCGCCAAAGCACCATACTTACCAACAGGGCCACCAAAGAGATGTTGACGATCATGTCGTACTTTGAGCTGTCGGAAACAACTTTGAGAACGAGCAGGGTAACCTGAGTCGCCGAGCAATTGCTTGGTTCAACATCGGCTTTGGGGTTAAGGGTTTGTCTATAACTTACAGCTGTACTATGTAGTGGGAATCTGGTAGCTGCGGAGACAAGCAGATCCAGCAAAACTTCCCAGAAGGCGTCAGGCAGATTGGAGCATCCTCCCATGCTGGGCGCACCTTCGTGAAGGGAACAGGGTTTTGGGGGGTTCCTTATTATAGTTATAGTACAAGAAATCATATCCCAAAACCCTATTCTAAGTATTCAGGCCCCTATATGAGGGTCTTTAGGGTTTAAGTCAGCAGGGTTGAGGGCTTTTTGTCGAATCTCGAGCCTGTGGAGGGTCTAAGGGCTGCAAAGATTCAATTTTCGCGGGTCGAGGGCTGGGCGGCTCACGGCCTAACCACAACATCGCAAAAAAAAAACAAAAACAGAAAAGACCCGGCTCAAGCAGACAGGGGAGGCCTTTTTTATGGGTTTGAGGTTCACGGCTTAGGATTTGATTGTCCCTTATTTGGACTTAAGAGGATCTTGTTCACCAGAACTATTCAGAGTCGGAGTACTTGGAGGGTCGGGGACTTAGTAGGTAGGTAATAAGTACAGCTATAAGTACCTGCGAAGATCCCAAATGGGGTCATGATACCTAGAACTTTATAAGATCACTACTAAATTAAATCCCAAACCACCCCTTTATAGATCCCGTGTGGATCCTTCTAAGCATCCCTTTAAGAAGCCCTCCTTACTAGGTCTCCCCGACCCTCAAAATCAAGAAAAAAAGCAGAAAAGAGCTCTCGACGCGCCTGCGCGCTCCTCCGCCTCCCCTGCTTCTGCAGCCTCGGGTGCTCTCGCGGGGCCACTTAAAGTACTTTTAGGGTTTAGGGTTGAGGATTTAGGGCCTAGGGTTTAGGATCTAGGGAAGTACTAGACTCTCAGTCTAAACTCAATTTCTATTGGACCCTAAACTCTCCTTATTTGCGGCCATATATACCCCATTTGAGGGTACGGACCAAGTAATCGAGTTTAAGATAAGGTTTACGATTTCTGGGGCTAAGGATATATTACACCACAGTCGTCACAACTTTCGTTCGCGGCCTAGTGGCATCCTCGGGGGAGACGCTGCAGCGCAGCGGATCCCGCATGGCTTCGAAATATCGATCGGGAGACGAACAAGAAGTGAGATGAACATCATACAGAGGTGAAGGTAGGGTGCTGATGTTGAGGGTTTGTTGACTAAGGACAGCAGGCGATTGACTTCGGTGACCGGTAGTTTCGACAGCTTCTGTTTTTGGGGTGAAAGAATAACAAATGACAATCTCTACACCCCTAAACCTAGACTCCAAATCCTGACGATACGCTTCTGGAACACTACGGTTGATGATATAACCTCTTCACTACCTATAATAAAGAAAATAATAATAAGAAGAAAAGGAATAATAATAACAATTACAATAATATAGTAATAATCATAATTCCCATAGTTTAGGGCCCTGCAGGTGATGCAGGATTTCTATCATCAACAGTAGTTCTGCCCGGCGTCCGTCTTAGTGTTTGCCTTAAGAGCACCAGAAGTAACCTCTTCCCTGTATGTTCCTAAATATCAGCAAAAATACAAGTTTAGCTGTTTCTTAGGGATTATAGTATAACCAAAAACTAGTAACTATTGAAAAGTACCCCTAAGAATGTAGAAGTTATCCTGACCCTACCAAAAGCACCCTAAACCCTACCAAAAGCAGGGTTTTGGTAGGACAAGGCCGGGTCTTTCGAGGCTTTGGGGCTCTGCTGCTTGATCTGCAGCTGCGGGATGTCGCTCAGCTTCACCCCCCCCCCCCCCCCCC